TATATATTATATCAAGTAACAATTTGAAAAATATTCTTAGATAAGTATCGTTAATGGCTTTCTTATATCTCTTTGATATATATTAATGTCATTGAGTAACACTCTAACAAATAACCACAAATAGAACAAACATATTTGATTCATTTCGTATGACCTCTTATATACAGGTTAAATTCAATAAAAAACACTCTAACAAATAGCCTCTGATACTTCAAAAAACCTTAGTGAATTTCTTACAAATTTTTCTATGCAGGTTAACATCATCAAGAAACACTGATAAATAAACTCAGGTCAAAAATCATTGGCAAATTTCTTATGATATCTTTTTTATAGGTAAATTCCATTTAATGATACTCCAAAAAAGTATCAAGTAGGTTAAAAATTCTTAGTGGATATCTTATTACCTTTTTGTATATGTTAACATTTGACTAACACTCTGATAATTAACATCAGATATGTCAAATATATTTGATGAATTTCTTACAATCTCTACTATATAGGTTATCATCATTGAGTAATATTCTGATAATAACTTCATATAGGTTCAACATCAAAGATGAATTTTTTTATGACATTTTTTATACAAATTAACAATTTTAAGTAACACTCAGACAAATAATCTAATATAGGTTAAATATCTTTGTTGGATTTCTATGACCGTTTTTATATAAGTTAATATTGTCGAGAATTTTTTTGATAAACAACCTCAAATAGATAAAAAATATTCGAAGGTTTTTTTATGATCTTGACATGTATTGGAATTTAAATATCTATGTTCTAATTATAATCCTTTTTTATGTTACTTTTATGCTTTTCTAAGATGTTTCTGATGTGTTTATAGGATTTAGGGAAGAAGATTCATTGGAGGTGAAGAACCGAAGAAAGATGCTTAGGAGAGGAGCAGTGCCTAGACGTTGGGATGGAGTGCCTAGTGGTTGCAACCTTAGCACCTAACTGCTAAATACGGGCGCAATGACGCCCAATGCCCTAGAACCACAAATAAAACTGATAGAAAGTAGGTGTCATGACTATGGCTATGCGTCAGTGACTAACGTTAGACGCCACATATTGTCGCCTAGGTGCTAGTTCATTATTTTAATGGTTTGAATGATTAACATGCACCGTTTTATGATTCATGCCTTAAATTCTCTTTAACTTAAGGGAAGAGGGGCACTCATGTATTTTTAGACACACTGTAGTGGAGATAACCTCAAGGAAGAAGGATCCAAGTGTAAGTGAGTGAAGTGAAGAGAGATTTTTTAGTGTTTTAGAGTGTGTAATCGTGCTTGTACATTTCATCCTATCATTCGGAGAAGAACATGAGATAAGTTTGTAAAGTTCTTTGTGTATTCATAAGGTTTCATCAGTTAAACTCTTATCTATGGTTTTTTTCCCCTCAATAAAATAGTGATGTTATTGCTTACAAGCATGGAATAGTAATTCTCCTTTGAATTGGTGATGTAGTCATGTTGAGTCTGAATTCTCCTATGTGATTTAATGATATTTTCTATAAAGTGAAGTTTTAACCTTTAATTCTTTATTTTCTCTAACTAGATCAATTAGATTGTTAAAAATTTTCATTAACCTTGTGTTTTGTGAGAAAATTTAGTAGAATAACTAGGTTAACATACAACAATTTAAGGAAATATGAATATTGCATCTAAGTTAGTGCTATCCTTTAGAGATAGTTGGAATCCTCGGCTAATCACTTGATTTAGAAAACTAAACATGTATGATTGTCGAACCTTCTTAGATGCCTAAAAGGGGATAAGGAGAAAAGTTACTCCTAATTATCACATACTAGTCAAATCACTAATCCAAACTTATATTTTTGTAGAACGAATTCAAGGGAGATTTTTTCAAGCATAAGAAAACTCTATGAATCTTTGACCCTACTAGCTCAGGATTGTTTTATTTTTGAAAATTAGGATTAGTGACTTTAAAAAATATCAAAATTTTGTACACTCAGCTAGGTTCAAAACTAGTAGGCTAAAAATTTTCACTATAAAAATTTGCTCGTTCCTCTTGGAATTGATACACATACTCTGATTTGTATACTGCTTGTAAGGCAATGTATACTTGTGTGATTTTTCAGTGCTACATAACACCTCAGTTTTGAGGGCTTCCTACTCTTCTCCTTTGGCTTCCAAAAAGATTTGTTCCACTTTAAGTGATCTCAATTGAATTAAAAAATGAACATCATTAAAGCTAAAATTTTGAAATCTATAGAAACAAGAGCTACTACTTTAATGGAGAGTTTTTTTTAGAAGACAATCAATCTTAGGATATAAGTAACTATAAAAGCAAGTTTCTATAAAGAACATGTACCTTTGTTAAATATAAATATTGTTGTATTTAAATTTGATAAGGGAAAATCTCTCTTAATATAGACCCAAAGTTTTGAAATCATTATTTTCATGATTAGATTAATTGTCAAATAATATTTTAATCTTTTTAGATAATGTATTATTCCTATTATAATATATGATTTCAAAATGAGAAATATCAATATTTGTGTGATATATGACACTTTTAATGATGTTTCTTCTCTTCCCACTCTCTTATAAATTTAACTGAAACTTTCTGAAGAGCTTCAATTGTTATTATAATTTTGCTCACAACACATCCACCATGTAGTGGAATTTACATACATACCACTAAACACTTATGTATTTATATACCTTTCACTAAAATCTTTTATTTGCCTACATAACACCTCAATTGTTAATTAAAATTAAAAATAATATTGTCATTAACTTACTTAAGGTGAGACACATCTTTCATATGTATATTTTAATGTGATTTAGACACTAAGATGTTATATAAATGTTGAATCCTAAAGTGTCTGGAGAATCACATTGAAGAAATATAGCATACAAGATGAAGGGAGTGAGAGAGGAAGGAGAGGCGAACAATAAAAATGAGAGCAACTAACGCCTTTCTTCATGAAATGAACTCCTAATTATGAGTATAGGAGATACCCATAAAACATAAATACATTTAAGACCCTCATTTACATAAAGAAGTTGCAGGGTACTAATATCATTTGTACAATATATTCAAATACATTAATAACGAAATTTGACGGTTGGCCATGATGACTTTTGGTCGCAACACGTGCTCGCTCATTCGGTGATGACCGACTGAACCACTTGAGGTTGATTTGAAAACTTCTCGACCAAGCCTCTCTATGACTTTACCTCAATTTTTTGGTTCACTTGTTTTGTTCATTCAGCGATGAGCTGTCTTTCTTTCAGCCTCATTCAAAGAAATCCTCTGTTCGACACGGTGGACAAGTATCCTTCAATAGGCTTAATTTACTATTGTCCTTCATTTGGCTTGCTACATAGATCAGCTCGCCCATCAAAAGAAGTGACTTACCAAAACTCTGGGATCCTTTTCTCTATACTTAGCATCGACTTTTACTCCAATAAGGTAAATCAGTTTTTGACTGAGCCTTTTCATTTTTTGACTGCAGGTCTCACCTGTTTGTCGTGCACCTATATTTTTTTTGAGATTCATGTTGCCACAATTCTGTCATATAATAATAAATATAAAAATTTATGAAGATTTATAAATACATATAAATTGTATGAAATGCATATAAAATCCCAGTAAACTTCTGTGAATCTCTTTTACTCATCTTGCATGTCATAGGCCTGACTTTTCCTCTTTGTAGGTTAACTTAACTTTCAATTTCTCCTTCTCCTCGCAGGTTACAATCTTTCCTCTTGGACCTCTTTCTATGCATGGTTCAATCTTTCTCCTTGGCATGCATGCAATAAGACTTCACCACTTACAGGAGAAACAAAAATGAAAATTGAAATGAAGTTACTTTCTCTGATTGAGGCGAGATTCTGAAGAAGGAAACCGTAGTTGTTTTGTCTTTAGTTTTGCGAGAAATTGAAGCTTAATTAGTTATATGTGCCATGAAGTTTTTTCATAATATTTTTGTTCACATTCTCCTTCCACTTCGAACATCGTTGGGAAATGTAATGCTTTTTTTTTTTTCTGAAAATTTTTTGTGAATTTATTCCTAAACAGTCATATGGCATATACAAAATCTTGAACCTATTTGAGGGACGAGCGATCACGGGCTAAGCTCAAAGTTCTCCTCATTAAAAAATATCACTGTTTGTGTTCGACTCGTTTATACTTTTAACAAAAAAAAAAAAAAAAAAAAAGGAGGTCGCGCTCAGTTTGTTTGCTTAACAAGCCAAACATGAGCGAGCCAAAGACAAGCTGTTCGTGAACCCTAATCACGCAGCCTTAGGACGTTAACGGTTGAGGTGAGATTTAAATGTTATTATTTATATTAACATAATATTTAGATATAATTTAATGTGTTACTATTCTCTTTTTAAATTAATAATTTAAGTTGATTATAAATTGCAGTTAATTAAATTATTTAAAAATATTACTCATTAATTTATATATATATATATATATATTTGAACAAAAATGTGTCAAACACGAACAAACAAATTTTTGTTTGTTTTCAACTCATTTACTTAGCAAAAGAATACAACACGAGCTTCTTAAAGAGCCGACCACAAACTTCTTAATGAGCCGAACAAGAATTGTTCACAAACAACGAGCCATTTTAACTTACCTAACACCTACAACCTATCGATCTAATGATGAAACTCTCAGCCAACGAACTGAGATAACTTGCAACCTACACTAAAAAATAGGATCTTGAATAAGACACCCCATGCCATAAACCAGAACAAAATACATGACACCTCAAAAAAAGACAAAACCGCAATACCTTTTCTGCTAACCTTTTCTGCAAAAACAACTTAAATTTCTCTGAATCAAGATAAATTCAAAAGGCGAGATAATATCTTTTTTAGACTAACCTTATAATATATTTTATAGCAATTTTCAAATTCATCTTTTCCTTCATCTTGACTAATTCCTAGCCTTTAACCCCCAAAACATCCAATAACTCTTAAACCCAATTTTACCTACTCTCCTCCCTGTATAAAAGCCAAGTCCAAACTCTTCCCATTTCATCATCCATCATCTCATGGGCTGCTCCTTCTCATCCATGGTCACCGCCGTCGACGACGGAAGCTCCCCTATCCCATCCAAGGCAATGGTGGTGGCGGCCGACGGTTCTCTCCTTCAGTATAGCAGCGGCATTCGAGCCTCTGAGGTGATCATAGCTGCCGGGCAAGTCTACGCGCTCTGCAACTCAGACAAACTCTTTTTTGATGCATATCCGCCAGCAACATCGCCTGACGAACTACTAATACCCGGACAAATATACTTTCTTCTTCCATTAGTGGAGCTAAATCAACGACTGAGTGGTGCTACTGTGGCAGCTCTAGCAGTTCGAGCAAGCGCGGCCATGAAGCGAGAAGCAGAGCGGCAGGGGAGAAGGAGGATAAGGGTGCTTGATGTTGATGTCCACAATGGAGCTGGAAATTTTGATTCCAGATTGGTTGTGAGGATGACACAGATGAAGAGGAAAAGGAAGGGGGAAAAGGTGGGGATTGGGAACAATGTGCTGAGAAGTGATTTGGCTACAATTGAAGAGATTGATGAGGATAGAGTATATTGTTGACTTTGAATCCTTTGGTGTCAGGGTTGAGTTTGTAAGTATCATTTTGCTTGTATGAGATACTCTATTGTTGACTTTGAATCCTTTGGTGTCGGGGTTGAGTTTGTAAGTATCATTTTGCTTGTATGAGATTTATTAATGCTCGGCTTTGTTGAAAAATAGCAAAGGCTATAGATAATATAAAAGTGTGAGCGGCGTTTTCAAAACGTCGTCTCACTGTCTGGAAAATACGTTTCAACAGTTTATCCAAAAATGTGATTGACTTTTTACACTAAACGCAGATAGCGGGTCCAACCCAGCGAGCCGTGTTTCAGGATAAGCACAAGTTGTCCCAAACGCACCCTAAACTGAAAAAAAGTCCGCCCACTTATAAAAGTCATTAATACAAAAACTTAGTATCGAAATAAGATGAACATTCTAAAATATAAATTGTTAATTTAAACCCTTCTGTGCTAGGAATGAGTTTGTAAATATCATTATGCATGTATGAGATTGTAATTGATGTTACATATCAACATGCTAGGTTTTGTTGAAATATCAAAGGCAAAAAGTTAATATAAAAACTAAATTGATAATTTAGATTTTGGATCACGTGTGGTCGTTACTGTCTTCAAAAAAGTAAGAATTTTGTAATATTATGTCAAAAAAATTTATAATGATAAATAATGTGATATAGATGATAGATTGTGACAAAATAACAAATTGAGTTGGCCTTTAGAATTAAGTCAACGGATTTGTCACATAGTTTATTACAAAAAGTTTTTGCAATTGTGACAATAAACTTTATCAAGAGAGATAGAAACTTGTGGATAATTTATGATTTTTAATTTATATGATGATATCAAGTTTGTTAAACTCATGGTGAATCCACATATCTGCTTTATATGAAGCATGTAAATTTATTTTTCTGAAAGGCTTTTAGAAAACACATAAAGTTGTAAGAGTTGTATTCAGGGTTATAAGAGCTCGTCCTCTAGTCGTGATAAGAAGAAGAGGCTCCCACTCACACTGCATGAATTTAACATATTTGTGTCGGATAGATCGGACACAAGTCCGACGATATTCAAATGTTAGCGTCTGATTTCTTCCGACGTTAAAGGGGACAGTAATTTTATTTTCATCTAATTTACGTTGAAATATTCAGACGCAAATAATTTGTGTCGGTTTTTACGTCGGATTTGTTTATGTGTAACATGTGTCGAAATTTGTGTCTGAAAATATCCGACGATGAATCTTAGCGTCCGATTACTGATTCATTTGCGTCAAAAAATATCGTAGAACAAAGAAAAAGTATTGTAGATGTAGCGTCGGATTTTGCATCCGAATATGAATGCAAATCCGATGCAAACCTATTACAAAAAAAAAATAAGAATATCAATTACTTTGTCACAATCAACAAAAAAACACATTCCACAACACAGACAACAATAAGCATAGTTATATCATAGATCAAATCTCTAAATAATATCAATAATAAAATGAAGATAATGTCACAAATCATCATAAATAAGCATAGAAATGTTAATCCAACCATCATAAATGTTTAACATAATGCTTACAAATAAAAGAAAACACAATAAAAAAAAACTACTCATCATCTCCAACCTTTTCCTCCTCCTCCTACACGGATGTCAACAGTTGCTTGTCTCGGCTATCTGCTAAGGTCTCTGCCATGCGCAATATAGAGTCATCGACTGTATGTTAGTCTTGTAGCATCTGCTCACGCAACTGATTGATCTCCTCGTTCATTGCAGTCATCTGTCTGGCAAGCGTCTCCTTGTATGGTTGTGAAGAGCTCGGAGAACTAAGAACGGGACCACAGGAGAGCTCAGTCTAGAAGGTTATGCCCTTCGCTCCAAGGCTATAAACCCTTCCAATCTTCCTCCCTATCGCCTAGGCCAAAAGCTCATAATCGGACTACGTAGTGGTAAACTGACTACCACTGCTGCTAGCATCAGTCCGGGCCTGAGTGGCTAAGTGCCTCTCCCGGAGCTACTTGTACCCCTTCTGCATAATGAAAACGAGTGTTTAATTAACATTTAGAATACTCATGTTAAAAATAAAGTTTTAACTTAAAACAACTCGTCGAGAATGCTCTGAGACCCGTTGTGCAGTCTGTAGGCACCAATGAGTTTGAACTTGCAACTCCGCAACGAAGGGAGCACAGATCAACTCATTGGCTTGTGTAGCATACAAAAATAGTTATCACCATAAGATTACTCCAAAAATTGAATTAATGTTTAAATATCAAAAAAATCTTATTAAACTTCTATAGTGCTCCTTATGGGCTACTGATATGCTAATATGGAGCGCAACAAGTTAGCATCAACAGACCCAACACTGTGTCAAATCATATGAGGGGTTGCACGCATGAAAGAAAACAATCTCTAAAGCTGGGGTATGAATGAAAAAATAAAATAGACACTTGAATAGAGTATTTTTCTGATTTGTATTCTTTCTCTCCCTTTGTTTGAACATATCCACTTCACAAAATTGGCAAGTCATCTCTACTGCATCGACCTTGTAATATATCATGCATCAATTAACACAACAATCAATCTTCTCACATAGTAACCCTAACTTTGAACCCAACTTTTTTGTTATGTACAAGTCATCCAACACTAAATTCCCTGCAAGATTAGTCTCTTTCAGTAATGTGGCTACCTAATTGAATGCTTCTCTTGGTATGTTAAAATGAAATTTGATGGTCAACCTTTTCAGCGCTACTAATAACTTTATGTGTGGTGCAACCATCCTATAATGATTTTTTGAAGCATTTAGTAATTCATAAAACTGTTGTGATTCATTATTTAGTGTTTTAGCTTCATGTTGAACACTCCCAACAAATTGAGCTCTCTGAGCATCATGAACCATCATTTCTTCATAAGTGTCCAGGATCAAATTCCTCTGCATGGGTGGCTTAACTTGTCAAGGCACCTCCTTAATTGAACTGAACTCCGGGTTCTTGCTCACCATGTTCAGCCCAGTACCAATAATTAGGCTTGAATCCCTTGCAGCAAGGATCCAACTTAACTTCTTGGAGTGGCAGAAGTGCTTGATTTTTATGCTTCACATAAAGACACTGAAACTTACCCTTAGAACGATAGATGTGCAGTTGTAATGTCACCTACACAAATCCCACAATGCCATTCAAAAACTCAGATGTGAGTCCTTATCATCCTGGATATAATATATTATACATCCAAGCATTCAAATTACATATATCCATCTGCAACATAGATGCAATTTTACGAGCAAGTGCAACTACTATGGAAATAAAAATTAGTCAATACTTAAAGAAGAATTCGAGACTACTTGGTCAACCAACCAATTGCAAGCAACCAACTTGAAATCTACTCATAACAAACCCATCTATATCACCATCACTTTGAATAAGACTTGAGGCACTCTTGTACTTCAACCAACTAACATTAATTCAACTTATAACATCCTTATCTATATCACCCTCACTTCGAACATTTGACCAATTGATGCATTCCTCTAATTCAACCATTTAACTTCAATTCTACTAATAACAATCCCATCTATATCATTATTATTTTGAAAAATAAACCAGATCGAGGCATTCCTCCACATCAACCAACCAATGTGAACTCTAGTAATAACATCCACTTCTCTATCACCATCATTTCGAACACGAGCTGATGCATATATTGCTTCACTCTTCAACAAACCATTTTGAATTCTACTAAGAGGTAAACACATACCATTCAATACTTATGTATATACATAGCTAACACTTAAGCTTTAATTTTTATGAAGATTTCATACATGCCACTCAATTATTATGTATATACATACCTAAACCTAAACTTTAATTTATATATATATATATATATATATTATATATATATACTGAAGAATCTAGTTCTTCACTGAGGTCATCAGGATGACTGATTTCAACACTTTTCTCTTGTATTGGCATACTTTTAAAACATGTTGGTTGGACTAGTACAAGGCCAGGTTGGGCATTGTACCATGCATTTTGGCATGATTCTTCTGTATGGATAGAAATCAACAAAGGTTTGAGGAGGCTACTATTTATATGCAACAAGGGGTCATCAACTGCAAGTCCTTTCTGGTTAAACTCATCAAACATAAACAGTTCCCCAATATATGTAGTATTCAGATCCCCCACCATACCCCCAGCTACTCAATTTCACACATCTTTTGGAAGAAGCTAGTGAACCCTTGGATTAAATCCAACATTGATGAGAGCTTCTTAGCCTTGGATGTTGGAGTAGGTGGTGTATTCAAAGATCAATCTGTTAACTGCCTGCTCTTTTTTCAGTCTCCTGTTGTTGTGGAGGATGCTTTAGAGGCTAAAGCAGTTGTTGTGTTTTGGGCTGCTAAACTTGTTATTTTGCAGCAGTGGTCACATCTCCTAGTTGAATTAGACTCCCTAACCTTGGTGCAAATTCTGGTAAATGGTGAGAGCCCTCCATGGCATCTATTATGTTGGGTTAAAGCCATCATATCTTGTAAATCTCTAACCCATTTACAGTTTTCTTTCATCCATAGAGAGGGCAATAGGCATGTTAATTGGCTTGCTAGAACTGCTGGAGCCAGTGGTTGTGTGTTTGTAAACTCTCTCTCTCTCTCTCTCTCTCTCTCTCTCTCTCTCTTCCCCCCTCCCCCAACCTCCCTCCTTTCTTTTGCATGGGGACCTTTTGGAGGTTTCTTATCTTAGAGTTGTAACCTCAACTTTTCATCAATAGATTCACACACTTTTTGGTTATATATATA